GCTGGGCGATTATCTGCTGATGCAATAAGAGCGGAAAAATAGTTATATTTTGCCGCTTTTATCGCCACTAAGTAGGTCTTAATATAAGATCTCACTAGTGTTTGGTTGAATTCAGAACGGCTGGTCCTCCAACTGCTCTCTAGGCGTCTTTTCCAGCATTTCATCCCCCTCAGCTCATCAGAGAACCAAGGAGGTGGGTAGGTTCGACGCCGGGTCAGAGGCCGCAAAGGCACGACCCGGTCTAAAGCACTAGCAGCCATCCTATCCCAGGACGCTACTAGGTCTTGAGTCATGAGCCAAGGTCTCAGGAAATGGCCCAAGCTCCAACCGGAACCTATCAGGATCCATCAGGCGCCTGGGGCGGAACCATTTAATTGATTCCGCCTCCCTGCGGTGGGTTGTAGTGGTCAGAAGGTCAAGCTTAAGGAGAGAATGGTCTGACCATGACAAGGGTTCGATGACTATATCCCCTATATCTAGACCATTCAGCCACTGGTCAGAGATAAAGATCAAATCCAGAGTGTGTCCCCCCGTGTGAGTAGGGCCATGAACTAATTGGGTCAGGTCCATGGCCGTCATGGAAGCCATAAACTCCCAAGCCCCTTCAGACGTTTCACCAATGGATGGCAGGTTGAAATCTCCCATAACCAGTAGCTTAGGAGTCTCAACTGCCACCTCGGCTATTACGTTGAGGAGCTCAGGCAGGGCTGCTGATACGTGGCAGGGAGCCAGGTACGTAATCAATAGGCCCATCTGTAATCCATAATCCCACTTCATGAGAAGGGACTCGCATCCGGTTGTCTGAGGGACAGTGACTTCCCTAGGGTCAAGACCTTCCTTTATAATGACTGTCACACCTCCACCCCTGCCCCGAGTCCTTGGCTGATGGAATGCGCGGAAACCTGGTGGGCACATTTCTACGAGGGGGACCCCCCCCTTCATTGCCCAACCAGGTCTCTGTAATACCTGCCAGGTCCGCTTTCCCCTCCTGAATTAGGTCACAAATGAGGGGGGCTTTGTTAATATGAGAATGATTTTAAACACATTGGAGTATTATGAAACACATCCTGGAAAACAAATGACGTTAATTTTCTTAGATGCACAGAAAGCTTTTGACAATGTTAATTGGCAATTTATGTTATTACAATTAAAATACGTGGACTTTCGGGAGAGATTTATTAATATGATTAAAGCAATATACCACAAACAATCAGCTAATGTGATGGTAAATGGGGATTTGACAGAGAACTTTGATATAAAAAAAGGCAGTAGACAGGGATGTCCACTATCCCCTTTGCTATTTATACTGACTTTGGAAGTGTTAGCCAGAAATATTAGACAAGATGAAAAAATAAAAGGAATGGAAATAAAAAAGAGAAATACAAGCTACAGGTATTTGCAGATGACTTGGTCTTTATACTAGAAGACCACTAGAAACTGGACCAAAGTTAATTAGAAAGATAGAAGAATACGGGAAAGTTGCAGGATTGAAAACAAAGATAAGACAAAAAAATTAATTCAAAACCTCATAGATACACAAAAAAATGTTGATGGAAAGAATTGATATACAGATAGTCAAAAAAGTGAAGTACTTAGGAATACAACTAACAGCAAAATGTGCAACGATCAAAGAGGATAATTATATGAAACTGATGCAACAAATTAAACTAGATTTGGAGAAATGGAAAGATCTGCAATTGTCATTAAGAGGAAGAATAGCTACTATAAAAATGAACATTTTTCCAAGATTACTTTATTTATTCCAAACAATTCCAATAAAATTGGGGAAAAATATTTTGAAGAACTAAATAAAATATTATTAAGATATATTTGATTAGGGAAAAAAGCAAGAATAGGTTTGAAAATGTTGCAAGACTCCAAAAAAGAGGGGGCTTTGGGTTGCCAGATTGGGAATTGTATCATCGGTCCTCGGTACTTACCTGGGTGAAAGAATGGATTAACTTGAGGTACAAAAAACTATTAACTTTAGAAGGACACAATCTTCAATTAGGTTGGCACGCTTTTTTATGGTATGGGAAGAATAAGATACATAGCTACTTTCAAAGACATATTAGAAATGCATTGCTATCAGTATAGGTTAAAATTAAAGAACAACTAACTTCTCCAATTGCTTAATTTTAATTTTAAAAGGCGTATTTTAATTGTTGGGCCAAAATTGTTTAATATGTTTTTTAAACTGTTCTTAAATTTTTGTATTCGGTGTGTTTACCTTTGGCTGTTCACCGCCCTGAGTCCTTCGGGAGAAGGGCGGTATATAAATTTAAATAAATAATAATAAAAAAATAAAAATAAAATAACAACATTACTTGAAAATACCAGTCTGGTTTTCCACAATGAAAGCATTGATTCATCCTAATGTTATTAATATGGAAAAATTGTAAGATATATAGATATTTTGAATGAAAAAAGGGAATTAAAAACCAAGCAGGAACTTAGTAGTCAAGGGATGGACATTGCATGGTGGCCACAAATGCAGATACAATCTCTATGTGAGAAAAATGCTAAAATGTATGGTTTTAATAAAGAATTAACAGAACTGGACCAGATATTAACTCGAATGGATGAAAAACTGATAAAGAAAATAAATTGTTACTAAATTCAAAGATATGGGACCTATTTTTTATATAGGACCTATTTTACCAATGGTTAGACAATAGAAACAGAAGTTAGAAATGTGGGGCTATAAAAAGGATAAATGCTAAAACAGATATTTGTTAAAATAGATAAGTTAAATATTATTGTTATTATAGTACCAATATTATTATTGGAAACATTTTGATTATGATTGCCTAAAAACCCAGACAACACACTGTTTGATGGAGATTGAATTTTTTATATGTTATATGAATAAAATAAATAAAACATGAAAATAACAAATCATTCACCCAAGCAGTCAAAGATATTCCTTCCCCATAAACAAGCTGGCCATTTGGGGGGTGGGGTGGGCGTTTGGAGGGGTAGATAAATGTTTTAGACTAAAAAGGGAGCTATTTTAAAAAATATAAGGCAATGGATACGAGAATCTCTTTTGAGCTAACAAATCATCACACTATACTGAATTAAATTGAAACTTTAAAAAATTAAAATAGGACTAGAGCTGAGGAGGCAGTCAGCCAGGTACTTTACCAGTATTATCACCAGCAGAAGCAACAATTCTGCACTGAATGAGTGTGGATTATAGTGATCTCTCAATATATCTTGCTATCTGGGTTGTCTTCTCCAATAGCAGATAGATCCAAATGTGCTACATGTTCTTTATAGGACTACATATTCCTCCTATAGTACTCATTTTGACCGGAGAATTCAAAAGATCAAGATGATAAACATTCCAATAGCAAAAGAAAATAGGGCATTCAATCAGACAAACATATAAGGAATGGCAGACACAAACATATATGTATACATATTTCCATCTAAAGCATTTGAAGCAGATTGTCCCAGATTCCAGATAGAGCAAACTGTAAAATGCTCATATATTTCTCTCCATAGATTGTCCAAATTCTTTGTTCTTTGCATGGATCAGTTTGTACATCCCTAACTTGGAATATCTAACTGTTGTAATTCAAGTAATTAAAAACCATTAATGATTAAGCAGGGCTTCCTGTGCAACAACTTTGACTTTAAAACTCCTATGTTTTAATTTATGTTTTATTAATTATAATTTATTAAATTATATTTTATAATATAAATAGAATGTTGCCTCTTTTTATGTTGCAGGTCATTGTTTATCTTCACTTCAGATTGAGGGGAACTTTTCAAATAATTTCATTCAGATAGATAGATAGATAGATAGATAGATAGATAGATAGATAGATAGATAGATTGTTTGTTTTTAGTGGAACAGTGAAAATTGGAATTATTCTTATGCTGTAAATAAAGATGAAAGTATTTCTTCTTACATAAAGGACTTTTCAACTGCAGCTAGAACTTTGGCTAGTACAAAGCATAACTAAATATTATAAATAACCTCCCAAGATTATAAAGATTTGAAATCTGTTTGTACACAATGTCTTTATTATCCTCCCAATCTGGAAATTTGAATGTACATTGTTCTAAGAGAAAGTAACATTTTATGAGCATGGGCACTAGAATGTTTATAATTAGTTTTGCCCGTTAATTAGTTTTGTCTCTCCTATATATTATTTTTCTATAGAAAATAAAAGTCCTTAGGATTTACACAGAATTTTGAATCCATGTATATGTGGGTAAAATTAAAATATTATCCTCATCTAAAACGTGCTTCTGAGATTGTCCACCACAAAACTACACTTGCAACATGTCTTCTGTGAATATCCCCATGATATTTCTTTCATCTCATCCTTAGCCAAAGTGAGACATAAGTGATATTTAGCTATGTTGTTCTGGCACTGTCCAGGAACAGCCTCACAATGTGTAAAATCCATTAGTTTCACAACCTGTTACCTTGAAGGGAGGTTAAATCCTTGCAGTGAATCAACTTGCAGTGAATAGAAGCAATAAAGACAAGATAGTGATTGACAAGGGAGAAAGCAAATTTCATGTCCAGTTGTCCATATAGTTTCCTGCTAGATCAAGGTGGAGTGCATGGTACTATAGCGGAGAAAAGCCTGAGTAGAATTACTATATGAATGAAGGCAAATATATATGTCCCAGGATAATGTTGCAGGATCCAATCTGGATCAGTCACCGGGACCAGAGGTTTGTCTTCTGAACCTTTAGACTTGTGCTGGAACTCATCTTCAGGGAACTTTTTTCTAGAATGAAGTTCCCTGAAGATGGGCTCTAGCACAAGTCCGAAAGCTTGGAAGACAAAAGTTCTGATACCAGTGACCGACCCAGATTGGATCCTGCAGAATTACTATCATTGTTCTATGATTTCCTCAAGTACTATATTATCTTGCCTTAATTGTTAAACTATTCTTGATTTTTGCTGTCATGTAGTAATACTAATACTTAAATCTATGAGATGATCAATTTTGTGGTTATTAATTAAATTATAGGTGGGTCTGCAACATCAGATGACCATGAATTTGACCCAACAGCAGACATGCTGGTACATGATTTTGATGATGAACGAACACTAGAAGAGGAAGAAATGATGGAAGGTGAAACAAATTTCAGTTCTGAAATAGAAGATCTTACAAGGGTAAATATTTTTTTAAAAAACTGCAAATATTATATGTATTCTTCTCACTAATGCCTGAAAGCACATAGACATTTTTCAAAATTTCAGTGAAATGGTGACTTCAGAATTCTTACCCTATATATTACATTTTTTGCACATTGCCCCACTTATGGTATAATCTGTTTATATTTAGTAATGGGTTGTATCATGACTGTCCTTGTGCACTATTATATTAATGTTCCTGAGATGAATATTATCCAAGTAAAAATAGAATCATGTAAGTATTACATATCTGAAATATCCCTGCAGTTATTTTAAATGGCACACTTAAAACGGTGTTTGAAAAATAATGGAAACAAAAATTTTATATCCCAGTAGGACATATAAAATATTATACAGCCATTGTAGCATGTTTTCCATACTCCTAACTCTTACAGTTTTTCATAGATATTAAACATTATGGAAACTTTAGTCATCTCTTTCAAATACTGCATAAAGTTTATACAGGCTTTATTTAGTATAAGATATTTCCACCTAAACTATTGATAAAGGTGTTTTAGGTGTATTTATTTTCTAGAACCACAGTTGGAAACAAAAATTTCAATTTTAGGAAGATAAACTTTTAGACCAAAATGCAAAATCTTCAGATTACTTTATAAAATAAATCTGAAAGTAAAAAGAAAAAAAAAGGCAATCATAAAACAGTAAACACTGGCATGCTTATGATTAAATTATATCCTAAGCAGTTCCCGGGACTGTTAGGATGAAAAAGCAAGTAAACAATTATTTACCTATTGTGGATTATAAAAATCAAGCTGCATTTAAAAATTTCTCTGTTTAAGCAAGCACAAATGTTCTTTAGTAAGTGGAATATGACATCAAAAAGAAATTGACAGTGCTTACATTACTGTTACTAATGTACATACTATCTGCTGGCTAAGTTTTTTAAAAAGTCAACCTACATGGAAAAAGGTTCTCTCTGAAAACAGTACAGCTTATTTTAGACTTGTTCTTTATGTAAGGATGAAAGTAGTTTTATTATTGACTAATTATATCAGCAGATATGGGATTAGAATTACATTGATGGTTATGAATTCTTGGTACATGCACATTTTTGAAAATATACAATATTTTAGTTATATTACACTGAAGTGAAAAATATTTAGGTTGTTTTCAGGTCAATGATTTCTGAGATAATTACTTTGTCTTCTTGAAATCAAAGAAATAGTGAATGAACATGCCTGGAAAATAGGAGTGATTGTGAAATTATGAGAACATTGCAAATTCCATGTCAGTGTTCCTAATCATTTATGTAACAAGTGTCACATGAAAATGTGTGTCCCATCAAACTGGTGCAACTTCTTAATGGAACATTGAGTCTCCACTCCAGTCAGATGTTAGTTGCTTATAAAATATCAGTGAAGGTCAGAATATTGACTTTCAGTGAAAGCCTAGTGCAGATAAAGTGCTAGTACATATTAAAAATATTGCACGTATTCAGTTCTATGGATTGTTTGATCAATATTGAAAATTGCTCAGGGAGATGTATTACGGCCAATTACATCAAATTTTTGTATGATTGGATCACACACACACACACACACACACACACACACACACACACACACACATATATATCTTTAATTTATATGCCGCCCTTCTCCGGAGACTCAGGGCGGCTTACAATGCTTTAAGCAATAGCCTTCATACTTTTGTATATTTATACAAAGTCATCTTATTGCCCCCACAATCTGGGTTCTCATTTCACCTACCTTTGAAAGGATGGAAGGCTGAGTCAACCTTGAGCCTGGTGAGATTCGAACTTGCAGTAATTGCAAGCAGCAGATGTTAATAACAGTGCTTCAGTCCACTGTACTACAGGCTCTTCAATATTTAGCTTGCATATTATTTTACAGAGTACAGATAACAGATTACTAGTTGGTGAAATCATCATCTAAAAGGTGTTTTTAAAAATCTTTGAGTTAGAATTTCAGAGACTTGGAATTCACGAGACTTGGAAAATGCAGTTATGTTTTGAATTCTCTTTATTTCATTTATTCAATTTTTATTACTTTATAGCTAACTCAAGATTGTGAATATACATATTATCCCTTCCTCCTTCTGTTTTCTCCACAACAGCAATCCTGGGAAGTGGGTTGGGTTGGGTTGGGTTGAGAGACAATGACCGGCCCAAAGTCACCCAGCCGGTTTTCATGCCTAAGGCGGGACTAGAACTCACAATCTCCTGGTTTCTTGCTTGATGCCTTAATTGTTACACCAAACTGACTTTTCTTTTTGTTTTATTTATTTGCTTTATTCCAGTTGCTCTTTCTTTAATATTTTATTTTTTTATCTCTACAGTCGTGTATGTGTGCATATGTGTGTTGTATATAATACCCATGCAAATATTTATATATAATCTATATACATAGTATATTTATGTACACATGTATTATGTGTACAACTCATTAACAATTGCTGGCCTACATAAATATTTTTCAGGATGAAAAATTACCTATTAGAATGAATACATTCTTATAGTACATTTCTGACACTATAGAACAATTTTGGCACTAATTATATGGCACTAATCAGCCATGTAATTAATGTGTAAAAAAAGAGATAAACCTAGCTTTCTGCAAAACACTTATAACTGTAGATGTAAATTTATATGTACACATTTGTTACTCCATTCAAAAGACATTTTCATTTGTGATAATTCGACATCTGTTGCCATGCCTAGCATTAATTTGTTCAAAATCAATATAACATAAACAAATCGCTTGTAGCTTTTTCTTCCTTGCTACTATTATCAAATTGAGTAGTGTGTGTATGTGCGCGCGCACTTGTGCCTGTGTGTGTCTTACTGTTTCCTGTTCACACAGAGTAGAAATTGCTCCATCCTGCTTTTACTATCCCTGATTGTTGTGTGGCTATCCTATCAGACTGCATCAGTATCTCACCCTGCCTTCTGCTATTAACAAGCACATATACACTTGAAGTCTGTCACTATAGACACATAAAGTTCAGCATATGCTCACCAAGGAGCAATTGTTGCCACTGTTGATTAGTCATCCCATAATGGTTTATAATTGGTTAAATTCTCATGTCCTGTTTTAATTCTTTTTAGGAAGGTGATATGCCAATTCATGAGCTTCTTAGCCTTTATGGTTATGATGGTTCTGTACCACTACCAGAAGAGGAAGAAGAGGAGGAGGAGGAGGAGGAGGAGGGTGAGGGTGAAGATAATGATAACAACAGTGGGTGCAGTGGAGAAAATAAAGTGAGTTAGATTTATTAATTTAAAAACTTGGTTTATGTTTTACGTTCATGTGCCTTTGGTAAGCAAGAATTTAATTATTTGAAATCTGCAATATGTAGAGAAGCTCTTGTAGATAAAAGAATGTAAACCTGGTATGTAGTTTTGATTTTCAGATTTAATCTGGTATGCAGGATCTTAAAGATTGGAAGGCAAGCTGGGATTGACTATTTCTATAGGATTATTTTGAAGAAGCAGAGTGTTATAATAGCTATGTACATGTTAGTGTCTTCTCTGTTTTTTGTTTAAGCAATTCCGGAGAGTTGAGACAAGGTGCATTTTGAAGGCTTTACGAGACTGAATCTGGGCTGAGCTTGTTGTTCCATTCACTTAGTTAACAGTTGAATAGGAAAGAATTTATATTTGTTTAATTAAAGGGGATTGTTCACGGTTATAATTATTAGTGACTATTAGTGACTTTCCCAGTTCAGCCTCTGTCATTATCATTACTTGTAAATAAAATAAATGAGCAAGCATGCAAACTCAAGGCCCCTGCCCACTTTAATTTCAAATACAGTCTGAGATCCAAGAAATAAGTAACTAACTTTATAGAAAATTGGAGTAGTGCTATTGAGATTGCTCATCATACTTTTAATCTTGGAGTAGACGTTTTGGGTTATATTAGAAAGGTTCATCTTTTCACCCTCTTATCTAGGAGTATTTATTGTTCACTTTTGACCTGCAAATATATGGCATATTTTATAACTATTGTAGTGTATTACAATAAAGGAAATGTTAATTAATTTTAGAGTAGTACCAGAAATGTTGCCATGTTGCATGATTAATCAAGAGAATAATATGGAACAGTCCAGAGCACAAAAGACATAGCAAGAAATCTAAGAGGCACCAATAAATTATAGAAAACTTACATCAAATGAAATACTACGGTATTTGTTCCTAAGAATCTTATTAATCTTTGGTCAATGCATTTAATCTACTAAAAATATTTCCTTGTTTACATTGCTCCATTTCCCATAATAAAAATGTTTTTTGCTGTATGTTATTAGAATAAAAATTGGATAAAAATCCTATTTGGTTTCTGAAAGTGCTATAATAGAGCATCTGGTAAATAGTGTCGTGCTAAGATTATACAACATCTGCTATTGTTCCAGGCTTTTTCTTTTGTTCTTGCTTTTGTTTTTCAAATGAAACAAAATTTGCCCAATGCAAACAATGTAAAGAATAACCATAAAACATTTAGAAATTAGTTTTAGAATTGCAATTAGTTTGAAAGCACTGCAAAAATTTGGGATCCTTCACATCCTTATTTTTTCTCCCAAAAGTTTTCCTTTTTTCCTACCTCGGACTTTGTCCTTTTTGGAAACAACAAGCTATGGAAGCTGATGGGGAAATACAAAAAGGGAAATGGAGTTGAATTTTTCTCTTTAAAGCCACGTCCTTTCTCCAGATTTCAAGCTAAAATATGAAAATGTCAAGCCAATTTGTTAAAAATTGCCTTTGTAATATTTATTTAGGATATTTAATTTCAGGTTTTTTTTTCTTAAATTGCATTGAAAGAGCTATGTTTGCCCTCATTAATAACTTAATTTAACAGAGTCACAGGAGATGTGCAACTTTGATGCTTCTTATTGGTTTCTTGGCACCTTAAAGGTACTTGACAAAACTAGGGCCTGACAACATGTGCATGCCTGCGCACACACAGACATAGAGAAACTTTTTTTGCTTTCCATTTGCAATGGTATATAATGAAACAGAACAATATAGGTTCAGTGGTGGGTTCCGCCCGAGCCGGTAGTGGTGACGATATGACATCACCAAACTGGTTCTGGGCCCCACCCCCTACCCCCTACGTTATTCTTACCTTTTATTTGGCCCCACCCCCAATCTGTTGCTGCCTCCTGAGTCCCAGCTGATGGCTAGAGGGAAAAAAACTGTTTAAACTCTTGCCGCGGGGCTTCAAAGGGCCGCCCTACAGCTGATCATTGTTAAAAGAAAACAAATGAGTAGACCGGTGCCTGCAAAAATGCATGAGTAGACCGGTGCCTGCAAAAATACATGAGTAGGTCAGTGCCTGCAAAAATACATGATTAGGTCAGTGCCTGCAAAAATACATGAGTAAATCAGTGCCTGCAAAAATACATGAGTAGATCAGTGCCTGCAAAAATACATGAGTAGATCAGTGCCTGCAAAAATAAATGGGTAGATCGATACAGCCTGGTAGACCAGTACCTCTGCTAAATCCTAAATATCACATGACCATCAAGCCACGCCCACAAAATAAGCCACGCCCACGGAACCAGTAGTAAAAAAAAATAGAACCCACCCCGGGAATATAGGTGCATGACCAGAACTTAATGATAATAATTGTGTGGAATGTTTACACACACATAAACACACACACACCAAAGAAAGGTAGCTTGCCCACAGTAATCATACTCTGATGACTTCTCAGATAGACTTATCATGTGCTCCAGCTTGGTTTCTCCTTGAAAAGGGTTCAGAGATAGTTGCTTGTACAAAATGCAGTCAGGATTTGGTGACATAGATAAATATTTCTCATCTTAGAAACTGTTAAGATGTGTGGACTTTAACTTCGAGAATTCCTCAGACAGCATGCTTAAAGTTATGAAGATTCAGAAATACTGACATAGATAAAATCTTTAGGCGAACTCATCTTTTGGTAATTTTCTGGACATATGGTTATCTTTCATAACTATGAAAGTGCTCTTTCCGCTTCCTTTTTCTGAAATGTTTTTGTTTCTACTTCCCTATCTAGTATTCCCTGTCCTTTTTTTGGTGGTCTCTACCTAACCAGATCTGGATTATTTTGAAATCAGTCAATGTTGGTTAGCTGCTGCCAATATTTGGGCTTACATTACATAGTAGCGATAGCACTTAGACTTGTATACCACTTCACAGTGCTTTACAGCCCTCTTAAAGCAGTTTACAGAGTCAGCATATTGCCCCCAACAATCTGAGTCCTTATTTTACTGACCTCAGAAGGATGAAAGACTGACTCAATCTTGAGCCGGTGAGAATCGAACTGCTGGCAGTTGACAGAATTAGCCTGCAATACTGCATTCTAACCACTGAACGCAATTCTGTTTGATCACTTGATCACTAATAAATATCTAAATTCCCTAGATTGGAATTACCTGAAGAAGTAAATTTCCTTACATTATTCTGCCGTGGTTAGATATTTGCCAGGAAAACCTTTTGGAACACACCCTGAATAAAAGATGGAGTTTCAATACTGAATTCAGTGGAATTGTCAGATGTTGAATATGTTCTCCTGAGAGAAAATGGATGTTTGTTAGTCTCCTGTGCCAATGGTAGTAAATTTTATTCATCAAGTTTTGATTGGTAGTTGGACCGATGTTTTAGAAATGGATAATTGAAAGGCAACTTTCTAATATATGAACACTTTGTATATTAAAGTGTTTGCATATGCAGTGGCTACTTTGGCATCGTTATATTTTGAACAATATGTATGTGTGTTTGTGTATACATACATATGCACACACACACACACATACACACACAAAAAAAATGATAAATAATTATTTCTTTATATCCAGTATGAACTGAAATTTCTAGAAAATTTATTTTTATGACTGTTGCATATGCCATTTTCTTTGTCCAAGAAGGTCTTCAGATTAAAATGCTCTTCCTGTGAATTTTCTTTTTGCACTGATTAAAAAGTTGCAGAATTTTTTGACAAATTGATATATCAGTACTTCCAATTGGAAAGATGAATTAAATAAATCTTTGTTTCCGGCTGTGCTGCTAAGAACTTTATTTTTCCTATTTTGAGAGACTTTATTTTAGGTAAAACCACCTCAGTTATTTTTTTATAGGTAGATAGGAAATAGCCTACATTGGCTCCACTGAAAGAGATCACACAGCAATTTTATAATTAACTTTTATTTATTCAATCAATCAATCAATCAATCAATCAATCACAAAGGCACCTTAAGTTGCATGCATACTAAAGTTTCTTATTAATTGTGACAAAGTCGTACTGTAATTAATGTGAAACAATGTCTGTGAGGCAATGGGACTTCTGTATTTCTCTGTATTTTAAAAAATGTTTAACTCATAACACAAGATTATGGGAGTAGAGGACCTAGAGTCATATTTTGAATGCTGTAGCTGCATTTGCAAAGTAGCTGTCATAATTGGTATTCCCAGTCACATAACACAAGTTTTCAGAAGGCAAATTAGACTCTTACAGTGCTCTTTTTGTGGAGACCAAAGGCATTTCTGCAATGAAATATATTTATTATAATTTATTACCTGCATTTGTATATTGCCTATTTCTTCTTATTTGATGATAAAGGATGGCCTTTTGTTTTATAGCACACCAACAACATATTTTATTATTAGATCTGTTTCAGAATCTCAGGTTGGGAGGAACATTGAACACCTAAAATGTTTATAAGGAGAGCTTATAAGCAATAAGTTGTTTATCTCCAGTTCATAAATTGTTAGGAAATAAAAACATTAAAATAGATGGGCCACTGGCCTTTCTTTTCCTCCACAGATTGTGGAAGATTTGAGATATATCCATTAAGCTAGAATCAAAGTTAGAAAGGAAATGGTGGTGGTGCATCTGCGTAGGGAGTTGATGGAAGCAGCCCATCTGAGCACTGAGGAATTGAATAGGAATATCTAGCCTGTGGTTCAGAAATTAGTACATATATAATATCTACATTTGAGGTTGTTCTTGCTTGATGCCACAGACAGGATACAAACCAGTTTGTGGGCTACCAATTGCATGTTTCATGTTTTGTCATAGAATCTTATTAGAATACTTCAGTCAGTTATTTTTAAAACTGCAGAGTTAAGAGTACATTTTGTGATAATGAGAACGTCTTGAAAAAAATGAAACCTGCACTTGGAAACATTGAAAAGCACCTTTATCAAATCTGGGCAAAGCCTTCCTTCCTTCCTTCCTTCCTTCCTTCCTTCCTTCCTTCCTTCCTTCCTTCCTTGTGAAGTTT